CCGTATCCCATAAGGAATCTAGTCTCATCAGTTCTTTTGTAAAGATATAACTTTGATCTATTTTCCTTTTGTTTCTTCCATGATTCATTCCTTTGTTCTCTTATATCTGGACTATAGCATTGAGATTCTAATTTTCCTCTAATTCTTCCACTGCTGGTAAGTCTAGCCTCCTTTGTCACTGCTCAACTTTATTCACCAGCTGAAGAATATCCACCAGCTCCCCCCACTGCCTAGTGAAAGAAATCATAGAATCTCTCAAACGGTCTATCTCCAAGAATATAGGAATCATGCTCCTACTATTAGTTTTAAATCTGGACTGCTTGGTTTTCAGTCCAGATTTTGTGTTGAAAGAAAGCAGGGATGAAAAGGGAATATTTGTTTTATTTTTTGTTAGAGTGAAAAATATTTAAAGAGTTGTTCAGCATAGAGAGTAAGAGAATGAAATAAGGAAATGGTATAAAATTACCAAGATGCTTATGTGTTGGCAGAGGGAGAACTCTGGAATCAGAGGGAGTAGGGTGGCAGGGAGGGAGTGATGGGGAGAGACACTTTGAGAAGAATAGTGTGAGGGCAGAATTTATATCAACAATCACAGTCTCCGTAAGGCAAGAAGCAAAAATATTGACAAAGGGGGTGTCAGTAAGTGTCCTTTGATATGAAGAGAGAAAAAAAAAAAAGTGCAGAATAGATGTTTTAGGAAATATAATGGTAGTTAATTACAGAGAAACAAAAACATTGCTGAAAAAAAGCATAGAAAGCCCAAATGATAGCCAAGCACATGTATCAAGCCAGGCTAGTTTGTGAAAGGACTAAAATTATCTTGACATTACTCAATTTTTGCTCTTGGTAAGTCACTCCCAGTTATTTCATAAATTTTGTTTATGGGGTTTCTATCCTGTGTTCTGTCTCTGTGTTTTATTGGAAAAGATGCCTAATATGCAGCTACAGTCATCTTTTAGGAACAGAAAGGATCTCAAAGATTGTCTAGTCTACCCGCATTCTCTTTTGAGGGAGAAAAGTGATGAATAAGAGGTCAAAGACTCCCATGAAAGCAGGCTACTGGTTTGCAGCTGATAAATGTCCAAACCAAGCCACTACTTGCCTTCTCCACATGACGAGGAGCTATGGATTTTATTTAACTACAATAACCATTATTGTCAATATTCATACTATCAGGGATATAAGCAGAGATAATGGTACTTGAACGGAACACTACCTGCAACAGTTCCTTACCACTTAGGACATGAGACGTTCTTATTCTTAAAGTCCAAGTTGCTAGAGGCAGGCTTTCCAGAGTTCTGATCTGATGACCTTCACTGACTGCTACCTGTATCTTTACTAGATTGTTGCACTTGTGTCCAAATTTAATCATCAACAGAAAAGGGTGGGATCAGCGTTTAATTCTCAGTGTCTTTAGACAATAATGGGAAGTCTGTGACTCTATGTTACGGTAAATACACAATGAAATAATAAAACTTACGTAATGTTAAAAGGAATTAGGATTGTCCTTTTCCTTTCTGGGTCATTTTACCTATCTTTTTTTCCATCTCCTTTTGCCAAGCACCATACTAGAAAGACAGGCCAGTGCGATAGTAAAGGTATTAGCTTAGGAGTCAGAAAACAGCCATTTGCCTGGCACTGTCATTGATTACCAGAACTTAGACACTTATCATCTCTCTTTTTCTCCTATAATTCTTATTCTCCCTTCATATTTTATTGTATGAATAAACTGAAACACATTTTAAAATCTTAAGCGCTCTGCAAATGTTCGGTGTAGACATTTATTGTATTTTCCTTCAGCTTGCTCTGATTTTTAAAGAATGTTGAGTTTGGTAAGTGAAATCTTACACAATGACAAATTGAAAAAGATGACTGTAAACTTGATTGCTTAGATCAGTGTTTTTTGGTGATGGAGTTATTGGCCGTTTAGAGTAATTATATTCTAATTTTAGGATGACCCCATGAGCACCTAAGTGTCTGTTCTATTCATTCCACAAATATTTATGGAGTACCTTCTGTGTACTAGGTTTCAGCTTTGTTTATTATCATAAGGCCTAAATCTAGCTTTAAAATCAAGGAAATGTGACCCATTATTTTACACCAAATAGTCTTACTGACTCTTTTAACACTTAGATCTTGCCTGTATTATACAGTTATCAATTAAATCGCTGTTAACAAAGATAACCTCTCTGAAGCAGAAGAGAAAGGTTAGCTGTCTGTATGTTTATTTTGCCTGACAAACTTGGTATCAGAGAGGGTATTTCAAATGCTTTGTGATCCAGGTAAAAAATTTGCAGGATGGATTTTTTTTTTTTTTTAACATGTGGGTAAGTTTGTAAAGCATTTTTATACCATTTCATTCCTAGAAAGCTGATGTAAAATCAAGCTATAGGTAACCCTGGAATCTGGCCTTTGTTCATTATGTTAGCTATGCCCTCCCCATTACATGAGAAATTGAGGAATTCAGACAATTATCCAAAGTAGAACTGCATAATTGTGGTAGCCCATCTGGTCTGATTGCAGCTTCTCTGCACTTCTCTGGCATCATGTAGTATCCAAGGCAAGGAAAAAAACAGTAAAAATTCCATGCAGCATACTTGTCAATAAATGTTTCATAGATCTGTGTTAATGTTTCAACTCACAGGCCACAGGGGATTACTATTCTATACTGTTTGTTCCCAGTAGCAGTTAATATTTTGGCTGAACAGTCTCCTTCACTCATTCTGGCTTTTGCTCCTTTGAAATCAGGGACTGGAGCCCTGACAGTAGTTTTACTAGAAAGAAGGAAGATAATGAACAACTCCAAGCATTTTCAATAGCTTGTAACTAGTAGGAAAGTAGGCTGAATATACAAATACGTTCAAGGTACAAATGTACAGAAACATAGAAAATGACCCCTTCTCTGTATTTGTTAAACAATACGGCCCCTGCTGACTTCACAGACTTTCAATGTGTGCATTTACACAGGGTCCCCTACTTAGAAGGGCACATGCTTGGTTTAATGCTCTACTGTCTTTGTCTTGAAATTGTCTTGAAATTCTTAATCGTTTTTGAACAAGGGGTCCCATGTTTTCATTTTGGACAGAGCCTCATAAATTATGTAGCCTGTCCTGACCTTTGTTTCCAGAGATTCTGGGTAATTGTGTTTGTGTAACATCGACAACTAAGAGGCAGCACAGTAAACGTTTTTTAGCGCGAGTATATGAGTGACATCGTAAAGCTTTAAATAAAAGCAACTAGCCTGAACATTTGCCCATTAACTTATGCTACAGTGGGGAGTGGGAGAGAGGTACTAAATTTTTGAGAGAATATTTAAAATAGAAGAATCTAAAATAGTACATCAAACACCTATGTTTCCACATCATACTCTACAGGTATAATTTTATGTACTGAAAATGTTTAATCACAAGTAAAAAGCAGATAAAATCTACCTGTTGGCCCCACTTCTAATCTCACTTATCTCACTGGGAACTAAAGCTCTAATACAAATATGATCCTTGCAATATTTGTTGTCCTTTTACACTGCCAGGAATAGTACATGGTAGCATAGTTTTTTTGTTTTTGTTTTTGTTTTTGTTTTTGTTTGGTGAGCGTTTCAGTATTTGTGTAAGTCATATGAGACTATATGTATCATCTTGTAATTTGCTATTTTCATTCAATGTTTTATTTGTAAAATCTGTTGGTATTGATACACATAGCTCTAGCTCATTCATTCTTGTTACCGTGTGCAGAAAATCTCCTGTCCTGATCTGCTGCCCTCTTTGTGAGGCTGTTTAGAGCAGAGTCAAGAGGAGTGTTTGTATTCTGGTTCTGCCACTGGTTAAAGTCACTAGATGGGTAATAATGGGCAAATTAAGTTATCTTTCTGAATCTCTATTTTCACATTTGTAAGATGGGATTAATAACTTCTACCACTTAAGATGACTTTAGGACATTTAAATGAGATATTATATATAAAACCTCACATGTGATAAAAGTGCAAAAAAAGTGGTGAGGATTTTCATTACTTTACCATAGGTATGATTGAATATTTTGAAGCCCTAAGCATATACATGACCATGATCTTAAATTTGCATTGTTTCTTTTTTTTTAATTGTACACTTAGCTTGGCTTTGTTCCTGATTCTATTTTTATGATGATAAGAAAATTTTACCCTTAAAAGGCAGTCCTCAATGCATCTTAGAGTTTCAGGTACCCCTTTCACAAAATTGAATGATACTACCTTGATGGACGTTCTGTGGCATAAACCCATACAGTTCTAGGCTTAACCTCATATAGCTGAAAGAATACAGTATGACACACTTGGAAAATTACGTCTATACATGATGCGTAATTGGAAAAAAATGAACATCCAGCATTCTCCAACTTTCCTTTTGCAAAGTAGTAAATAACAAAACTGAGAGGTCTGAATTCTGTCTGTAAGTACACTGCTGCATGCTCTCCAACTTGGAATTAGAAATTAAAAATAAGTACACAGTGAGCAATTTTTTTCATGTTCTCTGCAATTTCTAAAAAATAAAAAATAAAAAATAAAAACAGAAGTCAGTATTAAACACAGTCCTTGAAATAGATGGGAATCTGTGATGTATTAAGAAACTTGAAATAGCGGGGTGCCTGGGTGGCTCAGTGGGTTAAAGCCTCTGCCTTCAGCTCAGGTCATGATCTCAGGGTCCTGGGATTGAGCCCTGCATCAGACTCTCTGCTCAGCAGGGAGCCTGCTTCCCCTTTTCTCTCTGCCTGCCTCTCCACCTACTTGTGATTTCTCTCTCTCTCTGTGTCAAATAAATAAATAAAA